AATCGTATGTTGCCATAGGAACCAGACATGTATTTAATTTGCTGATGCAGAAATCACATAAATATGTTTTTATGTTTGGCTCTGATTTGCTGTCAAGTCCATTTACTCTGCTGCTACTGCAGCTGATAGAACAGAGATTAGAAAATGGATGATTCTACTGGTATTTATCACAGAGAATATTCAATTAAAAACATTAGTTTCACTTTGATTTGGGCAAAAATTAAAGTGATATCCTGCATTATGGGACAGTGTCAGACCTACATGTACTTCAATACAAGATCATGTTTAAATATATTAAGTTTAAAGTTTAACTTTAACTATCAGCTGTCAGTTGGAAATGAGCAGCTGCATCAGTAAAATATTATATATGAACACATTGAACAGTTTCCTATCAGCCTTTCTTTCTTGCAACATTTGCAGTTGCGGTGTTTTTTTTATGATCACATTTTTTAAAATATTCATTGTTCTCCATTAAAACAACTGAAGCAGCAGCAACACAATCGTTTCATTTTGTGCAGAAGAAGAGTCACGTGACACGTTAAACGCGCCTTTCTGAGTGAACGCGCTCAGAGTCTGAAGCAGAAAGTCTGAGTTGACAAAGAAAGGTGATAACCACCTTTGAGATACCCGCAATCTCTGACTGGGGCTTTAGTTTTTGTCGAGGCTGCTTACACAAAGAAAGCCTGGTTATGTCAGACTGACTTTGAAGTACAGCCCTCTGGTGCCTCTTGTCTGTGTTGAAATGTACCTTCTGTTGGCAGCTGATAGCTTAGTGTAAGAGTTACCCGTGTCTTGGTGAACATTTTAACTCCAGTTAGCAGCTGGTCAACTTGATGAAGATGTTGCTCATTGTCTGTTATGTGTTTTAAGGCACCAGTTTGTTTAGTTTCTGTTGCTGGTTATGGGTGTTGCTATTGTGTTTAAGTTTGGCTAGGGGGGTTTAATTGTGTGTTGTTTTTTTTTTAACAACACACACTTGCCCTGTTTTCTCTGTATTATCACTATATACTTTGTGTGTGTTAATTTTGTCAATAAATTCCTTCGCCCAACTAATAACGCCTGGATCTTTGTTACTCCCAGCCAGCAGCTGCAGTAACAAGTGGGGGTTCATCCAGGATCTTAAATGGTTCCAAAGGTAAAGATATTAAATTACTTCACATCTTTTTTTTTCTTTTATTGGTTGAAGATAAGTGTGCAGCTGACAGCATTACTTGATCAGGCATGTCTCACTGTATTTGGAGGACATGTGTTGTGCAGCTGTTGGCTCAAGGTGTAAGTGTGGCAGTATTGTCTACAAAAACTGTGGTTTGTATTTTAAGGAGAGGGGTGTTACGGCCACTGGTGATAGTGAACCGTTACAGTAGTTACAGCACTGCTACTCACTCTGCTCGTTTGGATACAGAACATTACAATGAATATCTGGCGATGACAAAACAGCATGAACTTTGTTTCTGAGCATTTTAATATCATTTAAGGTGCAGCCATACAAGGGTGTGACTCCCACTGAATGGAAACACATTTGGGAGGAATCTCCAACCAAAAACTGCTGTTCACATGCTCACATGTGTATAATACAGACTTGAAAAAGTGAAACTATAATTTAACAGTGTTCTGTGAAATAGGAACCAGGACAAACATGGTAGAAGATTTAACTATGAGCTGTTTGTCTATTTATGTCGTGTGTTGCATTGTCTGTCCACATCTCCCCTCAAATGATCCACTATGTTGGACTTGATGTCAT